CGCTTCACAAGTTGATCCGACTCAAGGTGATACCAAGGAAGGACAGAAATGGTACCTTCCCCACTTTGCAGTGTATCATCCTAAGAAACCTACACAAGTTAGAGTTGTTTTTGATTCGTCAGCATAATACCAAGGAACATCCCTAAACAAAGAATTACTTCAAGGTCCTGACCTGATGAATGGACTTCTCGGAAGACTGCTTCGTTTTCGTCAAGATGAAGTTGCGATAATGTGTGACATTGAGCAAATGTTTCATAGCTTTTACGTCAATCCTGAACATCGAAGTTTCTTACGCTTCCTTTGGTTTGAGGATAACAATCCAAATGCTCCTGTTGTTGACTACCAGATGAATGTACATCTTTTTGGAAACGGACCTAGCCCTGCAGTAGCTACATTTGGACTTCGGAAATCGGCTGATGACGCTTGTCACAAGTATGGAAATGCCGCACATAAATTTGTCCACGAAGACTTCTATGTTGATGATGGCGTGTATTCTTGTTCAAGTTCTGGGGAAGCTATTGATCTACTCAAGTCAGCTCAGTCCATGCTATCAGATTCGAACTTACGCCTGCATAAAGTTGTTTCTAATAAACCAGACGTTATGAAAACCTTTCCGAATCAAGATCTAGCTAAAGGGTTGACAGATCTCGATCTTGAACACGATAAGCTACCGAGTCAACGCACTCTAGGAGTACATTGGGATTTGGAAAAGGATGTTTTCACCTTCCAAGTTACAGATAAGGATAAACCTTATACAAGACGTGGAGTTCTGTCCATAATCCATTCGCTGTACGACCCTTTAGGTTTCGCCGCGCCATTCATCATAGTTGGGAAGAAGATCCTTCAAAATTTGATTCATCTTCGTACTACTGAAGGACAACACCTCGATTGGGATGACCCTTTACCGCCCAATTTATGGTCTGAATGGCATACTAACCTCAAGTCTATTTGCAAGGTTGAGGTAAAACGTTGTTTTAAACCTGAAGACTTCGGCGTAGTCACTAATATTGAAATCCACGCCTTCTCTGATGCTAGTCAAGATGCTATCAGTATTGTTATTTATTTGCGTCTCTTCAACGATAAAGGAGATACCCACATTGCCTTTGTGAGGGGTGCATCTAAAGTTAAACCACAGAAACACCTCTCAATACCCAGATTGGAACTTTGTGCAGCAGTTTTGTTAGCAACTACTGTAAAGCAAACCCAGAGTGTTAGAGTACAACATTAACAATGTCTACCACTACACCGACTCCAAAATTGTTCTAGGCTATATAATGAATGAATCACGACGATTTTATGTCTACGTAGCCAACCGTGTTGAACTTATTCGAAGCTTTACATCACCAGAATCATGGCGATATGTGAGATCGGAAGACAACCCTGCCGACTTAGGAACCCGTGGTTGTTCAGCATCAAAACTCATGCAAGAAAAGTGGTTCGTTGGTCCAGATTTTCTGTGGAACTGCAGCGACATTCCGTTTGGCGCATACACCTTGAATGATGGTGACCAAGAGATTCGTCCAGAGGTTAAGTCGTGTGCAACCTCTACTGTTACAGACAACATCTGTCTACTTTGTAGATACTTCGCTTACTTTAGTAATTGGCGCAAACTTTGTAAATCGATTGCCTATTTGAAGACTCTGCTTCGTCATAGGAAACGTGGCTCATCAGAAGACCAAAGCATGGATCTTAATCCTGAAATCCTACATGAAGCAGAACTTGTAATCCTAAAACATGTTCAACATGAAGCCTTCCCTGAAGTGGTTGCAAATCTCAAAAAATATCAGAACGGAAGTAAACGTATAAAACGGTCTCTTGGACAACATCTTCATCAGCTTGACCCTTTCATTTATCAAGATGGACTTATCCGGGTTGGTGGTCGACTCCGTCGTTCCAGTTTGTCCTTTCCGGAGAAGCATCCGACTGTATTACCAAAGAAGAACCATGTTACACTGCTTGTCATGCGACATTACCATGAAACAGTGCATCACCAAGGTAGATCTATAACCCATGGAGCCATCAGACAAGCCGGATTTTGGGTCATAGGAGGTTCCAGTTTGGTAAACTCTTTGATTAGAAAATGTGTTGGATGCAATCTTCTACGTCGGCCTTCTGAAACACCTAAGATGGCCGATCTCCCAGAAGATCGTGTAGGGCAAACAGCACCCTTTACCAACGTGGGAATGGACGCCTTCGGTCCTTGGGACATAACGACGAAGAAGACTCGAGGTGGATCTATCAATAGTAAACGATGGGGCATCATCTTCACATGTCTAGCCAGTCGAGCAATTCATATAGAAAATGTTGACGCGATGGACACTTCGGCCTTTATCAACGCATTACGACGCTTTATCGCTAAAAGAGGTCCTGTTGCTTTACTTCGATCTGATCGTGGAACTAACTTCATAGGAGCACATAATGAACTCCATGATGCTTTGAGGGATGTCGATAATGATAAAGTGAAGAAATTCTTGTTGGACCACGACTGTGACTGGAAATGGAATCCGCCACACGCATCTCACTTTGGTGGCGTATGGGAACGTCAGATTGGAACCCTACGTCGTGTTTTGGATGGTATGCTTTTGGGACTTGGGAAGTTTCAGATCACCCACGATCTTCTTGTTACTCTCATGGCGGAAGCTACAGCCATTGTCAATTCCAGACCTATAACAGCTATACCTTCAGATGCAGAGGATCCTCAGCCTCTGTCACCAGCTAGTATCCTTACCATGAAAACTAGACCTTATTTACCTCCTCCTGGAAACTTCACGGAACCGGATTTGTATTGCCGCAGTCGTTGGCGCAGAGTGCAGTATCTGGCTGATCAATTCTGGATTCGATGGAGGAAGGAGTACCTCCAAAACCAACAACAAAGACGTAAATGGACTAAATCTTTTCCAAACTTAGATGTTGGTGACTTAGTGTTAGTTATGGAAAAGGACGCCGTTCGTGGATCATGGCTTAAAGGACGCATAGTGAATGTGGAACTTAGTCAAGATGGAATTGTCCGGACAGCTGACGTTGTAGTCTTTGAGGACGATCAACCAGGTTCGAGCAAGCTTAGTGGAAAACTGAAGACATTTACGCGACCTGTGTCTCAACTTGTATTTCTGTATAGACCAGTGATTTGTTGATAAGAACTAATTATTAAAGACGTACGCCTTTAAGGTGGGGAGTGTGCTGTTTTTACGTTTTCGTGACCCTACCGTCTTGCCATAGATTATAACTTGTAGTCGTCAAATAAGACACTTGTTACTAGAACTAAGGCACCTTACGGTAACCAAGCTGACGCTACGCTTGTGTTTTCTTTATCTTAAACCTACCATTATTTTGTGTATTTCGGTAATGGACATTTATTAAGTTTATCATTTCATTCCATATAATTTACTGGCACTTATTTCGCATTTGCATTTGGTTTGAGCGTCACAGCGAGTGTCGGTGCTGTCTTATATCTGAGAGACTGGACAATGAGATCTATGAACTGGTTAGAACCCGCCATTGTTTCCAACATGGGTTGATATTTGTTTTATTCGTCATAATTTTGTATGTGAAACTTCACAGTGTTTTTTACCACTTTGCCCATTAAATTAACATCGTTCCAGGACATCGTCGTTCTATGATTTATTTGTGGGAGTGCGTTAAGCTGATCTGACGCGTCCGGTTTGTTGACATCTTCGACTTTGCTGCGGGTAAGGCCTCAACGGTACTGTCAGAGTTAAAGAGTCGTCTGCAAGCCGACAAAACAGTACAATTACCTTTTAATTTTTTCCGTTAGCCCACAATTTGTATAGACGTAACCAAAGCAATAGTCCTATTTGTACATTATGTGACTGATAATATCCAAGATTATTTTCATCTAATTCTTGAGTGTAACCACATTATAAAGATTTACGATCAATTTCAGTGCCGGACTGGGCCCACCTGTCCATGACAGATGGGCCTAAGCTCATTAAAAAAAGTGGGCCTAAGCCTATAAATAAATAAGAAAAGAAAGAAAGGAGAGGGGGAGGAAAGAAAAGAAAGAAGGAAAGAGAGGACAGGACACAGGACAGAAAAAAGAAAAGATAGGAATAAAATGACTGACAAACAACACAAAAAAGACGTGTACTACAAGGAAAGAACTTTATGAGTTTGACCTCATTATTCCGAGAACCGTGTAATTCATCTTTTAACCTTTACTTATTTCTTCATATGTCAAAAATTTGCCTGCTGCTTTGGTCTGAAATGCTTGGAAAATGCGTTTGCGGTTGTCAATTTTCAAAATTTTCCTGGGGGAGAACAGACCCCTCTCGGATTTTTCGTACAATCAGGGGCCATAATCCATCGTATACATGCCATTATCGAAAGGAACCGAGATCTTCAAGTTTCGTTGAAATCGGATAAAAATTGTGGACGGACGGACGGACAAACCGGGGCGACGGCTTTATACGCCCACATGAAAATGTGGGCGTATAAAAACACAACACAATTTACGACGCTTCGACAAGTATTCTCTTATCGTTTTCAACTACATGTATAAATGATGATCACTGGTTTATACACATATAATACGACGTTTCGACAAGTATCCCCTTGTCGTTATCAAGCACAAATCATTTTTACTCGAAAACGATAAGAGAATACATGTCGAAACGTCGTGCTATATATGTATTAATCAGTGATTGTTTTCCTTATAAATTATGTTGTGTTTTTTTTTTTAAATAAAGCTATCCATACTAGACAATTTAATTGTAAATAGTGACACTTTAGGCTGTTTTTGATACATCAGATATCATTAAAATAATAAGCAAGCTGTACGTTGTAAAAAGAACGTTAATTTATCATTGTCCAATATTATTATATGCATTATATTTTTATATCTTAAAACCAATTTATTAAATAATTTATCATATTAAAAACTATCTATTAGTATATTATATACTAAATTCTGTATAATTGCTTGAAAAAATCACTATGCATATATGTTTGAATGTTATTTGTATCTATAGATCGTATTATCTGCATACTGAATAAATAAATATTATTATAATTCGTAACATATGTTTAGGTATTTGAGCCGTGCGTTTTCATTACGAATACGTTATTTTTCTGCAAACGTTAAATATGTTTGTTAATATTTACAAAATATATCTCTGGACAATATCTATAATAAGCCTTAGGGTGTTTGCTACATAATGGATTATAATGTAATTTAAATAACCTAAAACCTATTCGATACAGATGACGTAATATTTGCAACGCATGTGTAATTATTGTTTTCTTTCTTTTTTCGTCTTTATAAATGTGCCATTCCATCAAAAGCTGTTTTGTGCCTGTCAGTGATTCAGAAAATATGATTTCTGGTAAAATTGTCCACTCTGATTCTTCTATGTCTATCTTCACAATTTCAACTGTTTCCTGTAAAAAATAATGGCATATAAAACCTGCATAATATCTAACTTCAATTGTCTGATATTAAAGATGTATTATTATATAAAATCTAAATCTGCCTATTACGGGGTTAGTGCTAAATGATAAGGCCAACTCAATTTTTCGTCATAGGTAACGAGATGTATTCCGGGCTAGCGCTAACCCTGAACCTATCACGAACTAAATTTTCATCATCCTAGGTCAGTGCGTATGTGGAGACTCAAACCCTCCCCCAAAATCTTAAACCTAATTACCTACAATCTTGCCAACAATCACGTGCCCTAACCTTATTTACATCTCAGCGACTTTGAGAAAGATTGAACCTACCTTAACAAATAGATTTAGGTCTATTACAGTTTTTTTTTTAAATGTTGACCTTCAAATGAATCTCTTTTAGGTGGATATAACACACATGTATTGATTTTTACATGGATATTAGACAAATGTATTATTTTTGAAAGGGCTGAACTCTGTACGTCTGGGTGTGGTGAATAACTACTTTTGGACCACCCATCTTGATATAATTGTTGCTATTCCTGTGGGACGACGCTCTTGGAAAAGCCTGAGACATGAAACTTGGCATGCCTGTTCCTTGGACAACTGGGCGTCGATTGACAGACTTCGTTTTTTAATATGACGTCATAATTCCAAGATGGCTGCGACGTAGTCATAGTCATTTCATAGTAGGGTGGTACTTGTTTTAAAACATACTTGTTTGTGTCCTAGTCGTGTTTTTATGTCTGTTAAACTTGCCATCTTCCAGCCTTTAGGTGAAATACCAGTATAATGAGCAATACCAAGAGCGTGGAATGTGATTAGATCACTTCTTTGGTGATCCGACATATTATTCCTACAATAACAAAAATTTAATAATATAATACACGTCAATTTCAATAATAATGGTAGTAATGATACTACAACTAACACTATAAACCTCAGAATGCCACGTTTTGGCATTTTTGTCCAAATGTGGCGAAAACGTGTTAATATTTTTGCCACGTTGTAACGTGGTAAAAAAAAATCACACGTTTATCTGGAGTGCCGATCGTAGCTGTTTAGATTGCCATGTTTTTGAAACGAGCTATTTTGTCCAGAACGAGACTTGGTAAAAATGCCACGTTTTCTAAACGTCGTTTTCTTCAAGATAAATATATATAACCGATATATATATATATATATATAAATAGAGCCACACAAATAATGTCCCGACCTTCACGTGAATAATTGCAGATCTACAAATTAGATTATTTATCGGGATATCCTATGGTTAATTATGATGGTTTACTTCACTGGAATTCTATTGTGTATATTGAACATGTCGTTTGGTGTTTCTTCGCCTTGTATTTGTTAGATTAAATAAACACTAATTTCTTCTCTGCGATATCAGTTTGGTTGAAGCAGACGTCAAGTAAAGCTATTTCACACACACACACAGCGTTGTTATTTATTTTATAGGTCAACGTTTTCAAGGATTCTGATCAAACAACCATGAATATTTCCCACACACAACGTTGGTAATTAATTAATGGGTCTAATCAGGTATCACAAACCGCAGTTGTTACTTAAAGCTGAACTCCGAATACAAAAGTACAGAAATAATTAAATAAAAAAAATAAAACCCTAAATAATCGCCATACTTGTTTCCAAGCTGTAGAACAATCATGGACAGTGTGGTTGATAAGGCATGCACTGGATGTGGGCTTGGCCTGCCTCTGTTTTTGTACGCCGTACAATCGCCATGATTGTTCTAAAATTGAAAAGTTTTACATGTATTTCCATGTATTTTGTTAAATTAACACACCAATATGTTACCAACTCACGTACTTTGATTCTGTTTACGTCCATGTTGAATGATACTGGTGGAATTTTCCATACATAATTTCAATTATTATTTCAGAACTTAATTTTCTTTTTTATTTCAAGATAGAAAGAAATTACCATCTATAAAACTAACAGCGACTTCTTTCTCAACACAAGTTTTCTAAAATTAGTTAAGTTCTGTATTGTAGATCATATCCTGTAATATATTACGAAATGACAAGACAACTCTCTATATTGGGGTAGGTCCTCTACCGCACTTCAACTCCCTTCCCGGTTTCCTTCCACTGCTAAAGACCTCTTCGTACAAGTAAATTATTGATATAAAATTGAACCATGCGTTAGTTCCGAAATGACCTAGTTTGTGTCGAGTTAAATCCCATCTCTATCTCCTCTCTATCATCATTTATCTTATTTTCCTTTCTCTACACCCCCCACCCCCTGCTTCTCACACACTTTCGACTTTTCAGACACCAGGTTTGGAAAGACTGTTATAAAACGTGTTTTTTCTAGTATACTTCCTTCAACTGGACCCCTTTTGATTTAAGATCACATTTTTCGTAATTAGTCATAACATATTTTCAGGTCGTGTCAAGTGTACAGCCATCTAACAAGCACAAGTTCAGTCCTTTCATATCACGCAACGTGTATTTTGACAATACTACAATAAAGATTACTAAATATACTGTAGGCTATTGTGCTCATTGTTATATTTAAACACTGAAGGCAGGGGCGGCCTATAAAAGAACTTCACTGCTTCAACCTCAAAAAATACATATAATGAAAGAATTTGTGTTATTTCACCTTTAAATTATATACACGTAGTAAGAACCTTTGAACGACATTGTGGGGGAATAACATTTAGTCTTAAACACCCCAATGCACACTATGCCAGGGGCATGTTTCGTCTAAACTCATTTAAACATACATTATGCAAGAGCTAAATCTGATTATTGCAAGTCTTTATTTAGGCTTCAGATGTCATAGAAATTATAAATTAGATCTTTATTTACACAACACGCACAAAATCAACTCTGTAGACCCACGGATGGCTTGGATTCAGCTTGGATTTAAACGGGATTTCGTTGACTGATTTAATTTTAAATGGCGTAGTGAGCGGAGATTAACCGTTACGTTGACGTCATACTCCCGGATCGAGGCCGCTGTTGAGCGATGCCTTAACAAATGACATCTAAACTAAAGTGCAATAAACTAAACACAGACAATGACAAATTATACAATTCCTGGAGACCGTGTGGTGACTAATACAGACGGACAGGTCTTCTGTCTTAATAATATCAATGCAAATATTTTTATTTCCCCAATAGGCACGACGCCACTATAAAACCTATAGATTTATCATAATTGTATTATAATATTATGTCCTATATTCAATTGATTTAATGCATGCAAAAAATACAAGTAAGAATGAAAATTTACCCTCTCACTCATTTTGTCCAATTATTATAAAAATCCAAAAAGGTAAAACACAAATTCGGATATGACAGCAGACAAAAGACAGCAAAGATTATGTAGATGGAGTTAACGCCTGTCAATCAAACGATCGGCTATACTAAGAATCGGTGAAGATGGAATTCAATCCCATTTTTAGTCAAAAATTACACTGATGATAACTATGTTCAGAATAAAGTAATTTGACTGAAATTTTCAATATATTCTTCTTTCATCATCTATTTTGGAACTGTTATAGCAAGAATGGCTAACTCCTTATAAAAATCTACCATAATGTATCTTTAACTTTAACCCAATCTTATCTGTCAACGGTTTAACAAGTAGGTGCTAAATAAATGATTACAGTCACCAGTTGTGCAGTAGAACGAATATGAGCAAATCCATTATAACAAAACAAATAGAATATTTCCGTATACAACTTTTAACCTCTGTGAATAAATATAAAAAAGAATTTGAAATAAAATTTAAAAACATTTACATGGATTCAAATCACAATTAATCTGTCCGAAGATCATTGTTCAAAAAAAGTCATTTTCCATTCATCTATTTTTGGATTTGGGAAAACTAATTCTCTTTTTCCCATGAAAACAGATTATCGTATTATTTAACTATCGTTCTTCCCAATCAGTACGAGCCAATTAGAAAGGCGAGCAACAACGGTGACCATAATGGTTCGGACCATTCTACAAATAGGCACTAAAAAACAGCGTCGGCCTACCTTGTCTTATCACCACAGTCCTTGGAGTTGGATTCTCCATCGGAGAAAAACTATTAATTCCAGTACTAATATAACTTTTATTATATACCTTAGACTACTTTCTTTGTGCAACAATTGAAAAACGAGGATCACATACGCAGGACTATCGGCATCGGACCGGAGTCTCGGCGTATCGCTGAAAAAATATTCTATCACACTCATTTACCCAGAGTTAAATCTGACGGACTCCCTACATCTAGGACTATCTTAGTTACTTTAGAGGTAGCACCGGGGATCTCCAAGACTTCGTTACTAAAGAAACTAGGACTATCTATGATCGTCTGCAAAATCGTCGGCATACACCTACTACTGACACGGAAGACGCTTCGAAGTGGGGATATTAATTTACATTTAGTATTTAGCTGGCCTAACTGGCTATGTTGTTTATTTCGTTGCTATGGTTACATCAGTCATTCCTATTGCTAGATTTTGATAGCGTGTCGGTTTCACCATAGAACTATGCACAGTTTTAACATTAAAAGATAACATAACTTCTATATCTTGATCGACATAATAATATTATTAAAATTGCACTGGTCACATTCGTAAGCAGATAACTCGAAATGCTCCGAACAAAGAGAAGCGTGTTTTGACATCGCATCGTTCAAGTCGTTGACACCGCTGTGTCCAGACCATTCTGCGCGTTGCCTCGCTTGGAAATTCAAAAAAAAAAAAAAAAAAAAAAAAATGACACGTGCTTCCTGATTTATTGTTTGTGCTATTAGTACATCCCCAAACAACGCAATTGACCATGTTTATGCCTCCAGTTAGACAAAATGACGAGATGCAGTGCTCAGCTGTAATAGCCTTCTATAGGCAAATTCACAACGTCTGTCGTCTTTGACGTCACTCACGGAAAAAATCAAAACGAGGCTGCAGATATGGATAACTGTCAATTCTTTTAAATTCGCAGGGCTAAAAATATTCTAATATTAACGTTATTTTTGCGATAGTATTCGCCTTTAATTTAATGTATCCAGAAAGTGCGGTATAAACAAACCTTCACAGTATCGCTAATAATTAGCTTGAAAGAAAAACTACGTTTAGTAAACGATGCATTTCTACACAGCCTCGTTCTGGACAAAATACCTCGTTCCCAAAACATGGCAATTTAAAAAAAACAAAACACGTGGCATTCTTTTTACCACGTTACAACGTGGCATTCGGAGGTTTATAGTGTAATGCTGCCATTGCTATTACTACAACTACTACTGTCGCTGCTACTGCAACGGTGTCGACAACAGCAACAGCAGTTCTAAATTACGGAGAGCTATTCACATATCTCTCTGGTGGTTTGAGGAATGGTAGTTTTGGGCGGTTTCAGGTTGACCAGGGATATCCCGATACTTTTCTCAAATTGTTTTCAAGAAGCGTGGGTAGTCAATATTTACAAGTAGGCCTACCCATTTCTAAAGGCTTAATAACTACACCCCATCTTTGACTGGCAGAAATCATGTGTTTGTTACTGATCACGACGTCGGTTACATTTTTATTACCGTACATGACCGAGTAGCTTTTGTTGCACTGTGCTACACTACTTACGTTGGATCAAATGAATGTACCCTGATATGTCTACGCTTGGAAATGGCATCATCAAAACTGAAATCTTTAGCAATTCTGAAATGGAAATGAAATGAAATGAGGTTTAACGTCCTGCTTTTGTGACCCAACCAGAATAATAGAAACGTTCACACGCCATAGTGTGATATGAAATACATTTTCAGAGGAATTACAAATTTCAAGAATTATTTCACTAGCACGCCATCATGTACACGATAACGCATTTTTTCGTACCACCCGAATGACTAGACGATGTTTATTGCCAGGCGCTCTGTCCTGTCAGCTACATGGCGGGGGGGGGGGGGCATAAATGTCTTACAATGACAAACATATGGTTGCCAGGCAACAACAAGTATATAAAGTTTGTTATAATTTGGAATAATTGAACATCCCAGTTAAAACTATATCGTTAAATCAAATGAAATGGGGTTTAATGTCTATTTTTTCCGCACCAACCGATTTAATGATGACCGGCATACGCCATTCACTGCGCTGTAGGGCAACTTTTCCTTCACAACATTTCCGATTACTCTATCGACATTCATGGGTATACTTTTACAATCACGCCAACGAATTTACGAGTGCACCGTGAGTTTTCGTCCCATGTAAACGACATGACAAGATTTGAGATTTATAACACAGAAGCGAAACACAGCCGCTCCAACTTACCCAAAAGAGTACACAATGCTATTTGTTGAGGGCATGTAAAATGGATCTTCACAAATATCCCAGCCCCCGTCACCTGTATTACCATAACGAACTATTTTCTTACAATCATATTGCATTTTCTCCAGATAGCTGAATAAACACAAATATTCTAATATTAGTTACAAAGAGATGGACGGGCAAACACCTACTCTCGAAATCACAGACGAACTTTGTCCCCATATAGCCCCCCCCCCCCCCCCCCTACACTATCATTTTATTTTAGAAAAACTAACTGTAGAGTATGTACATATTTAGCGTTTGTTAAGCTTACCAAGTCATCAAAACGACGAAGACTAAAACGTGTCCCCAAACTACCACATTAATTTCTTTTAGGCAACCTCAAATCTACCTTACTCCGGTCAAACATGAACCATAAAAAAACGAAACGAATCAGGCTATGTGTTTTAATCAGATTGGCTCAACTGATACCCCACCAATGTTTTCGGAACTAAGATAATGATAGTATGATACAATCTTCAATAATTCGATCTCGCCTAGGGGTTTTAACTGTGGGAGGAAGCCGAAGAGTGGACAGGCGACCCTACTCCTAGTCATGTGTAAGCTTGGGACCGAAACCACGCCACTTGACCTTTGATCACTAGACGACCCAACCCCCTCAACGAAGTGAGAATAGGTGGGCACGGATGATTGACAGTGTAACGTTCATTAAATGACCTCAATCATCAGGAGAAATAAAGATATTGTACCTTGTGAATAGATCTTCTAGTTCGACGGTAGTCAAATGAAGTAGATCAGTATAAGACGGGATACTCGAAGACAAATCTGTAGGCCTATTTATTTCTGTCTGGTTTTGGCATAAAACTGGAACCAGCCTACTCTCCTGTAATTGATCATATGAGTCATTTTCCATTTGATAAGTATTGATAAGTGGGATATACCCACCACGTGGAAGTTACAATGGAGACAAAAGTGGCATTGTAGGCTTTATATATACAACAGGAAGGCGCTACTGTAATAGGGCGTATAAACCTTTCTCTTAAAGGACAATATGGGTGTGAGTCATTATCACATATGTGATAGAACTGGTTTAACATGTTCCAAATATAATTTTAACACAGAGATCATTGCTACGATAGATGCGTAATCAAGGTTACAACAAACGGAAGTAACGAACGCAAAAGGAAAACACGAGTTATCCTTCTATATAACTGACAGAAGTGACGAGTGATAACAGATACGCGGGCGAATTTCTGCTCACTAATATTTCTTTCGAAGGCCAAAAGTTGTTATATGAGACTGTGAGAGGATATCTGACGATTCAAAACAGAAATTGACTGTCACTAGAAAAGAGAAAACGAAAAAAATATAGACAAATTCCATGCATTACCATGTTTTTATTAAGCATAGAATGAATAAAAACAAGTAAATGTACTGACTATTTCAATTTTTCTCGTGTTCTCTTATCTAGTGACATTCAATTACTTTTTTGAATTGTCAGATATCCTCTCACAGTCTCACATGGTCTTCGAAGGAATTGTTGAGCAAAAATTCGCCCGTGTATCTGTTATAACTCGTCATTCCGTTCAGTTATATAGAAGGATAACTCGTGTTTTCCTTTTGTGTTCGTCACTTCCTTTTGTAGAAACGTTCACTACGCATCTATCGTAGCAATGATCTCTGTGTTAAAATTATATTTGGAACGTGTTTAACGAATTCTATCACATAATGTCTAACACCAATATTGTCCTTTAAAGAACAATATAGCTAGCACTTGCCGGCTGCTTTTAGAGATTAGGGTGGCGTAGTGATCTTTCAGTGACCTAATAAAAAATGTCGAATCCTTGTATTTGTTGTTGTCGTCGTGGTGTTTAACGTCCAAGCCACATTTGCTCACACCAGGGATCGAAACCACGACCGCAAGCCAGAGGTGACCCACCAGTTACAGCGCAAAGCGCAACACTCTAGACCACCTTCCAGCCTCAACCCATCCTGATCTAAATATACATAGGCACTGGAAGGGATTAAAATAAAAATTCCTACTACTGCTTGACTACATCACAGTATATACAACGTTTCTCACCCGCCATGCTTTCAAGCGTTCAAGACATTCCGTCTGCTATCAGCTCTTACAATACTCACTAGTTTTTATTGACAACGAGACCTTATTTGATCATTGTTCGGCTTCCGATGTAATTAAATTGGTCATTTTACAGCGTTATTAATTACAAATCAAACTTGAAGCGCTATCACTTGGCGACTATCAACTTCGTGGGACCGGAAGTAACATGAAATGGGGTCGATGACGTCGCGTTGGGAAAGTCTTTATTTTTGATTGGTCAAGGCGTCTTACTAAAACAAGCCAACAGTGAGGCTGATGTCCCCCGCCGAAATCCCAAAATAAATAGATGACACATATTAATTAATAGCACATTTATTTTTTTCTCAAAAGTATCAAGCAATCAAACTGATAATCAACTATACACTAATTAATTTCATCACTCTCTATCAGATAGAATCTTATCTTGAGCTCGAAATGTTAATCATTGAACTCAATCAAGACATTCACCTAATGAACATCTAAATCAAGTTTAAACATTCTACCTCAATTAAAAGTAGAGTTTGTTATGTTCCAAAGTCTTGACTAATCAAATTGCTTATCGCTTCTTAGTCTAAGCAGAAAATCCTCATCATCGAACATAGTCAAAGTAATAATAAAATAATCTACACTCTCAATTATTTAAAACTAAGGTTATCGTGCCCCAAAGCATTAACCCATCAGATTGCTTATCTCTGCTTACCGTAAGCAGACAATGTTCATCATCGAACTGCATGAAGACATTTACCTACACCAGGTTTGACCATTCTAGCTCAAATAGAAGGAGAGTTATTGTGTTCCAAAGTCTTGACTAATCAAATTGCTTATCGCTCTGCTTACCCTCAGCAGAAAATGTTCATCACCGAACTTAGTCACTTCTAATGTATTGATGTAATAAAGCTATACACCAAGTGTCCCCACTCTCACTTAATTAGAACTAAAGTTATTGTGTCCCAACACATCAACCAATCAAATTGCTTATCTCTGCTTACCCTAAGCAGAAAATTCTCATCTTCGAACTCCATCAAGGCATTCAACTAATAGACACCTACGTCAAGTGTGAATATTCTAACTCAATTAGAATGAGAGTAAGCGTGTTACAAAGTCTCGACCAATGAAATTGCTTATCGCTCTGCTTACCCTCAGCAGAAAATGCCCATTATCGAACTAAGTCAAGATATTTATGTAATGAAACTATACACCAATTTTCATCACTTTCACTTAATTAGAACTAAATTAATTATGAATCTCAGAATGACAACTGAATACTGTCATTGGTATGTAACATGCTTAGGATAATTTAATCGATCAAAATTAAATGGATTTCTTTGAAAATTGTACAAAACATAAAATAATTATCTAGAATGGACGCATTTACTTTATTTTACGTATACTAACTACTTCAAATGGAATCGTCTAACTACTTCTACATAGGATATTAAAACATGTTGCAAATTTTTGCATTATTTAATTTGATTATTTTACAGCTACAAAACACAAAAGAAAATATGTTTCCGTTTTACACAATAAACAATTTATTGCCAATTCATGAAGAAAGATATGGTGTTAAAACATGTTGCAAATTCCCGTATTTCATGGTAGATCTTGAATTATCATATAAATTAACACATGATATTTTGATCAAGTATTTTACAGCTACAGGTGTGAAATGATTTTGTGTGAAATAAACGTCCTGAACACTAATGGGTTTACTAACATCAAATATCTGGTTCTGCAAATTTGGACATAGGGTTTCTTGTAACAGTCACGAGATACGAGAGAATAAACAATTAATTTTTAGTTCGAGGGGAAAGTGCTACCACATTTAAATAAACCTGGTTACTATGGGTCTGCATAATACCAGGGACGGGCTAGGTGCCGTGCGGGGTTCCCACTCTATGGGGTGGATGCCGGGGGAGGGGGGTCTCTCCCTAACCGGGCGCGATCGGTGCCGGTAAATGGTGCTTTCTAGAGTATATTCTGGTGTCTCTAGCTTATACACATATTTCACGAGCGCCAATCTGCCATGATGGATTTTTAAAATTCATTTTTAACTTCAGAGACACTAAAACCATATAAACGACACAGTAAAAGCCATATAGAATGTCATTCTATTACTAAAGTTGGCAGTCATTTTGATGAAAAGTGACCGGCAGCCTGTGCAAAAAAAAAAAAAAAAAAAAAAAAAAATTGTATTGTTTTGTTCAAAGTTGTTATTTTTGGAACATTTCACCTCTATAACCACTTTGTTTTGTAAGATTTTATCAAAAATCCATTTATTGTCCCTAAGAGTCACGGTGGCTAATTGCGTAAGACCCTGACCCGTTAGACAGAAGGTTCGCCCCCGGTGTTGGCCGAGAGAGTTCAACCGGTTTTACTGGCGTGGTTTCCCCTTGTCAGTAGTACAGGACGGAGGGTGAGAAAAACCGAGGTCCCGTATACACATTGACGTGCATGTACAAGATCCAGTGGTCAGTTGGAATTCGATGTAAGAGTAGGTCGTAGCGCCGCTGTCCGAGCAAAATTTCCCTCATTGCAGACTATGTTGTATGCCCGTCTTCATTAGCCCAGTCGGAGCATAACAGTTGAACCCCATGTTGTATTGACTCGCCACTGAAACGCACTGGTTAAGAGATATCTCAGAAACTTCACGGAGACCAACATATTGAATTCTGTTAATTACGTAATTTCGCCTTGATCGACGTCGGCCGAAGTTGAGTATGAATGATGTCTAATATAAGCGTGATTAAACCCAACTGCATTGGTTTCTTTTGAAATTTGTTTGGGGTCACTCCACTTTTGAGATTAACTTGCCCCGTCTACTAGACAAATTAGGAAAGCTCACCTTAAGGTCCGTAGAAGGCATCTTCTGCAAAATATCTTTCAGGAACAACCTTGCTAAATAAAGCACAAAAAATAGTTGAAACGCGACGAACCACAGACATAAACGAAATCCAATCTTTGATCTCATTATCATATCAAATCAAATTTTTTCAGACTGTTTGGAAAGTGAACAGTAAATCCCAGGCGGTGGAGACAGACTGAAAGACTGAACAGCTTATCAGTTAGTTATTGATTTCAGTGTTTTGTGTTGTCAGAACTGTCAATTTGTTTCTATGTTAAATATTGGCAACATATATTGAATACTATTTAACGTATGTATGTGTGTGCGTATATATATGGGTTATAGCGGAGAGAGAAATGGGGTTTAACGTCCACTCGACAGAAACTAGGTCATTTCGGGACTAATACATGGTTCAATTTTATTTTTAATAATTCGCTTGCGCGTAGGGGTCTTTAGCAGTGGGAGGAACCCGGAGAAAACCCACGAGGCTGGACAGGCGACCCTACTCTTTGTCACGTACAGCCGGGGAATCCAAACCACGCCAGTTGACTCAATGACAGACCTTATGATACAGCACGCACGTGCTAACCATAATGTTTAGAGTGTAAAAAATATTGCTTATAGCGGGGTAACATAAGATAATATTTAAAGTATATGACTTTTAGCGGAGATGGCATTTACACTATAATTATGACTTATAGCAGAGATGGCATTTACACTATAATTATGATTTATAGCGGGAAGATAGCAAGATTCGGGGCCGTAAATGTGGGGATGGGGGGTACACCCCCCAGTGAAAAAAAAGTCGGTCGCAAAATAAATGCAGTCGGTCGCAAAGTAAGTGCAGTCGGTCTCAAAGTAAGTGCTCACTGAATTAATACAAACAATGCCAAAATAGAAGGAAAAATCCCAAATTGTATGTATTTGCGTGAATCCGTGTACCTAAATTGCAAACGTCATGCTACTCACCCAAAACCTTAGTATAAAATAACCTTGTCAACTTATCATGTTTGAAAAAAAATGTCTTTTACCCTTATTCTGTTGCGAGTTGGTCTAAAAAAAAAATTCCCCCAGGCAGAAAAATAGTCGCTCGCCAAATAAATGCAGTCGGTCGCAAAATAAGTGCAGTCGATCTCAAAATGTCCTCACTGAATTAATACAAACAATGCCAAAATAGAAGGGAAAATCCCAATTTTTTTTTATTTGCGTGAATCCGTGCACCTAAATTGCATACGCTACGCTACTCGCCCAAAACTTTAGTATAAAATAATCTTGTCAACTTATGTTTGAAAAAATGTTTTTACCCTTATTCTGTGTTGAGTTGGTGTAATTAAAAAAAAAATCCCCCAGGCAGAAAAATAGTCGATCGCAAAATAAATGCAGTCGGTCGTAAAACAAGTGCAGTCGATCTCAGAATAAGTGTTCACTGAATTAATACAAACAATGCCAAAATAGAAGGAAAAATCCCAAATTTTATTTATCTGCGTGAATCCGTGCACCTAAATTGCATACGTTACGCTACTCACCCAAAACTTTAGTATAAAATAATCTTGTCAACTTACCATGTTTGAAAAAATGTTTTTTTTGCCCTTATTCTGATGTGAGTTGGTCTAAGTAAACCCCCCAGGGAGAAAAATAGTCGGGTCTCAAAATAAGTGCAGTCACTGCAGTCAGTCTCAAAATTATGCATCGGCGACCGACGAAATGAATTAACGAGTAACTAAATAATGCCTGAATAGAAGGGAAAAATCTTAAATGCTTAATATACGTGCACCTAAATTTTTTACGTCACATAGTCGGTCTCAAAATAAGTGCTCACTGCAGTCGGTCTCACACTAAATGAATAAAGAGGTAAACAATACCAAAATTGAAGGGAAATATTTTGTTTAAATGTGTGCACCTAAATTGCAACGGTATAGTATAAAATAACCTAGTCAACTTTTCATGTTTGAAAATAAAAAAATCCCTGTTATGAGTATGTTGGTCTAAGAAATTGAGAGAGCTTGTTACGCAGATTTAGATTAACTTAAATTATATTATTGGATTGTCATACGAATAACATTAGTCGAACAGTTGGTAAGAAGTTATCGGAAGCATAGTTTGTTTTAAAAAATACGTATAAAATCTATACATTATGAAATGTTAAGGCAATCTATTGAACTTAAGAATTTTTACTTATTGCAAATTTAATCCCAGTAGAAATTAAAACGTATTTTACTCATGTTGTAATTATTTTATGACCATCAGAATTCTGCAAAACCTTTCCCTAGATCCCAAAGTCCAGTAAATGGCATTTCAGAGACCAAGTAAGCGCCCCCGTGAGACAAACTCCCCTCAGGCCCAGTCCTAAAAAATAAAAAGCTCAGTTACATAATCTAAATTTTTTTGTGTCAATTATATTGTGTCATTCTTCAAATCCTCTGTCTTATACAATCTCATCACTATCATATTCAGTTAGAGAGAATCGCCCAGTTAGTAGTATCACTAGTGCGTCGGGCGACAGACTGTAAAATTGTTATCTCTACCCTTACAAAACAGGCGAAATTGACGGACGGGTCTCAAGAGTCTGTCCCATTTCATATCCTCTCGTTAAGGAGAGAATTTGATCCCATTTGTCATGACATTGACTATAATTTTTCAGGCCCAGTACCCAAAAATTAAAAGGTCATCATTCTTCCACTCCTCCTGTGGCCTTATCCTGTCCATGCACTGTCATATTCACGGTTATAGTGAACTGCCCAGTTAGTAGTACCGCTGGTGCGTGGGTCGTGGGGCGTCAGACTGTAAAAATAAAATGTTCTGGCAAAACAGGCGAAAGATTTCGAGATTCTGTTTCATTGACTCCTATTTCTGGCTCCCTTGTTCACAAGAATGTGCTCCCACTTGTTTAGCCGTCTTTGTTTAACAACACAAACTTATGTTGAAATAACACAAACTGGTGTGAAATGTTGAAATCGGAAAGGATATTTTATGTGCACAGTACACACAAATGTGTACAAATGACCTTGGTTTGTCATTCCATCCAAACAACTAGACTGCTGTCCTTGTCAGACCCTCCGTCATGCACCACTAACATGCGGAAATCACGCCAGAAAATCACTATGTACTTTCTCTGTCAACACCGGGAGCTCATTACAAATAGCTACTCTTCATAACAAAAATGCATGAAAGATAGGTCAACTACTCACTTGGATCATATTGCATCTCCAAATCCAGATTCCCTACATCAAGACAACGCCAATTTGCTTGACAATATTTTATTATTTTTTTGGCCCATTCATTTTCAATATCTACAGATGTCTGACAGCAATCAGGATATATATAATCTTTTAAAATCTATTGAAATCTGAAAAAAATTGAAAGGTAAAAATATTTCCATCATACTGCTAATGTGCTGTAAAAATACACAAATATATGTATTTTGTTTTCTTACAAGCAAAGACAATAATCTTATTTATCTCATAAATCCTTTGTTTCATTTTAATTTCCTATGAATTTTCTTGACTATCCAAATACTTACCAAATCTGGTGTATCAACATATCTGGGATAATCTGTAAGAATCTCTCTCAGAGACGGAGAGCCTTGCTTGATCCATTTCTGTCTGTTATTAAATGTCGCTGCCATGGCATCAGAGAGATCCTTGAAATTTCTGTCTGTTGAAACTGTATGGCTTGCTTTCACTTTTAAATGTGTTACTTTATCATCATTAATGTCATCTTCTTGATCTTCTGTAATAACTAAAAAATATTTTTTTTAGGACACTTGTTCTCACTGCATGGAATTGATCAATGTAAATATTTTTTTGAAGCTATGTTTGTTAATTTATGAATACCTATTATAGCAGACACACTTACAATGCCATTATATCGGCCAACTGTAGAGTAAAATTGATGTAGTGATAACTTAATCAAGCCAGTAGATGATATTTTAGTTAATAGGTAAAATTAACATACCAAGTGTTCTGGTTTTGTATTTTTTCTGGCTTTTATCATATCGTCTGTAAATTCTCTCATCCGGTTAGTAATGAAGCCTTTCCCTGTCCCAAGACAATAATATAATTCCTGAAAAAAGGACAACACTAATTGAAGATCTAATTGTTGGCAATTGTGAATACGGTATTGAAAACAGTTTTGTAATTATGCTGTTATTTATATTTACCACTTTTGGCCCTTTAAAATTTGAACAAGTAATAGCCAACTACATGAACAAGAAACATCATTGCATCCAGGCGAATGCGATGTCATAATATCTAAATACTCAAATAATATCAAATGATGTGATTGTCTAAAAAAAACAAGCATGCTAAGTTTCATGAAAATCATACTTGAATAATTGGCAGAGCCCTGGGCATTGCCCCATGAAGAGGAAGACGAACAAGATTACCAATTGTATAGAACCAGTCCCTTATTCGAAAACAAATATAGCAATGACTTCAAGTGCTAGGATATTGGTTCAATTTTTTAAAATTTTCTCAGTTTTATAGTCAGTGCCCTTAAACATGCATTATGCAAGAGCAAAATCTGCTTATTACAAGTCTTTCTTTAGGCCTGAGATGTTCTCTAAATTATCAGACATTTATTAAAGATGTATTATGGTAGATTTTTATAGAGAGTTGGCCATTCTTGCTATAACAGTTCAAAAGTAGATGATGAAAGAAGAATATATTGAAAATTTCAGTCAAATTACTTTATTCTGAACATAGTTATCATCGTTGTAATATTTGACTAGAAATGGTAGCGAAATGCGTCTTCACCTTGGCAGATCGTTTGATTGACAGGCGTTAACTCCACCTACATATCTCGATTATCAAGTAAATTTTCAATGTCATACGGAAACGCTCTACAGCGGCCTCGCTAAGTACACTCTATCATTTAGCCTCGATCTAACTGACGTATTTCATCAGGTTGCCCCATATTTGATTTAATCAATTAGTGAAATCCTATTTAAATCCGAGCTGTAGCCGAGCCATCCGTGGGTCTACAGAGTTGATTTTGGGCTTGTTGTTTAAATAAAGATCTAATTTATAATTTCTATAACATCTGAAGCCTAAATTAAGACTTGCAATAATCAGATTTAGCTCTTGCATAATGTACTTTTAACTTATCCAGACCATAATAAACTCTCGATGTCAAGGCTAGCCTTCGATGTTGGCTGGATTAGATTCCTATATGCCGCTAACAGCCGTTGATAATTAAATTTAAAAAAGTGGATAATCGAGACTATGCTGTTTATATTAATGATTTTAGTAATGATGACCGAGACTATGCAAAAATTTCACCCGCTTCTATCTCGGCTCATAGTGGTAGGGTGCCCCGTGGCCGAAACTTTTCCCTACTAAAAGTTGTACTCGACACGTTGAATGTGCACACTTCAGTGACGTAACTCTAATTGATTTCAGACGAGTCTCGGGCTCTCTTTGTGTCTATAAATAGCCACAGCACGTTCTCAACACTTGTAATAACTATTACAGACGTAAAAAATCTATTGTTGACGATTCTGAATAGATATATTTAGCTTTTTGGTTATTACTGCAGCTTTAGAAATTACGCTAGTTTTTTTTTTTAAATTGATTTATCATTAACTAGACCGTTAGGAGTGGCATCTTTTGGTTTAGTACAAATAATATCTCTGAATAACGTGGGTTGGGCAAGAAAATGATACTAGCAGTAGTTTCATTTTACTTTTACAAGTTTCTTAAAACAATTGTTGTGTCGCCCACCGGGCGTTATTTGTAAATTCAATTTCTTGTTTAGTTTTCTGTCATGTTTCGTAAAAAAAGTAGTCTTGATTATCCCGGCCTGTCAATCAGACGGAGAATGGTCGGTAGACTGGTTAAGTGAGGCTAATTTCAAAACAAGGGCACGTAACCTATTTTTTGCTCAAAAGTGTCTGGATGTCATGGACGACACTCCGAACCATTTTTCAGTGTATTATTTATAGATGGTTAAATGGTCATATCTTATTAAGTACAACATGACCGTTTATTTAGTGACTATAATTGTGCGAAACTGATTTAAAGCTTAGTATATATATATACGTATTGTGGTGTAATTGTCGAGATATTTATTTATGGTGGGGCAGCCTAATAGTGGATAGAGAGAGAGAAATGGGGTTTAACATCCACTCGACACAAACTAGGTCATTTCGGGACTATCATATGGTTAAATTTTATTTCAACAATTCGCTTGCGCATATGGGTCTTTAGCAGTGGGAGGAAACCGGAGGACCCGGAGAAAACCCACGAGGTTGGACAGGCGACCCTACTCCTTGTCACGTACCACCGGGGATTCGAAACCACGCCAGTCGACTCAATGACAGACTTTATGATACAGCGCGCGCACGCTAACCATTCAGCCATCCAACCCCCCCTAATAGTGGATCAATTTGACTGAAATTTTCAGCAAATTACCTTTATACTATCTAGTTTTTAAGTATTATAGCGAGAACTGCCATCTCTTTATCTTATCTCCCATAATGTATCTTTAAGGTTCACATAAATTTAATTACAAAATCAATAACAATCATCATATTATATGACATATACTTTATGTCAACTTGAATAAAACTGCTTTCCGACGAGATAACGATCGGCGAACAACTATAGGCAATACGATCTTTAAGGTTCACATAAATTTAATTACAAAATCAATATCAATCATCATATTATATGACATATACTTTATGTCAACTTGAATAAAACTGCTTTCCGACGAGATAACGATCGGCGAACAACTATAGGCAATACGATCTATGTTCTACCGGGACGCCCAGTGTTATAGCCAGTATTTTGTTGACATTCATTGTGAATGGCGCCCTAGATTTGGACCCCCCCCCCCATTCCAGATCAGCTACTAGAAAACTATCATCTATGGTGCTCGGCCCCTGACTGCGCCACTCGTATTAGGGACATGTGCATCAGTAGGTCGCATTTTTGCTAAACACCCCCCAAACAAAATCTTTATGTACGCCCCTAGATAATATTTAATTAAGTATATGGATTATAGCCGAGATAACAAGATAGTATTGGAAGTATATGGCTTATAACGGAGATAATATAATACTATTTAAAATCATTGAATTGATCAGGAATATGTGCAATTTAGAAACAAATAAAATAAAATGTCACTTAAAAGAGTCGTACATTGTTATCGCCGTGTTGATTTCACTTAATTCAGTCAGTCATGTTGATAAACGTAATAGTCCTGGGGCTAGGTGGGTTTTGTTCAACATGGAAGGTGCAGAAGCTTTATAATGCTAGTGACGTACGGCTAGGTTAGGAGACACCAGAAACCCAATTCTTAAGTTGCGCCAGTGTTTGGTGTGGTAGGGGGCGCAACCCACAGCACCCCCCATAAAAATCTTCTGGGGAAACTGAAAGGCATCGATGATAGCATGATTCCTCCATGCGACTCAGAAGTGTCACTGCAGATCAAAAGGGCATCTTTTGTCTCAAAGATGTGGGGAAGCGCTGGCAGATCTGAAATTAATCAACACCAATCTCCAAAAGATTGTTGGGAGTTGAGAGAAGGACATTATGAAATCAAATGGTTTAATGGTCCTGAACTCTCTGAATCACTGAGGACATTGAGGAATCCGCTCAGGATACATTGCTTCCTTTAATGAAGGCAATTACCGCTCCTCACAGATGAAGAGGAAAGTTAGGTTTGGGTTGATTGTGTCTTGATTTATGTCTGCAAGAACATGACATAGATCTGTGTTTTAAATGACTATTAGTATGAAGGCAGTGGGCGGTAATTAATAAAATAAAACCAAACAATCCAATTCCTAAAAAAATGGTATCGGCAAAATAGTGTAATCAGAAAATGGACTGTTCATCATGTACAAAATATATGATGAACAGTGGTAACAGGTGTCCGGAAGAGTAAGCTTACCCTGCTTGGCGCCAAACCCGCCATAACTGCATCCACACCATTAGACGAAATCTCGGTAAAATAGTGTAATCAGCAAATTGACTGTCCATATAATGCACACGATGAACAGTAGTAACAGATGTCGTAGACAGCGTCAATTAAATATATCTAGAATAATAGCCGAGAGATACATGTTATATTTACTAAACAAGTCAATATGACGGCGTTTTTCAACGTTTATCAGACAATTATCCCTGTAATTGGAGCTTAGATGAAAAATGCTTCGATCTACATAAAAAATCAGAATAAAAGGAACAAGCTCTAACGTAACTAATAAACTGAGACACATACACTCCGTAAGTTGGCGATAGTGGACTGTTACTAATAAATGGAAAGTTGACAATCGGGAAAGTCAAAGTCATCACGTTTATCATATATGTGTACACTGCGTTTATGGCAATTGTCTAAATCGAGACGCAGATCCAGGTAGGAAACGTAATTGTCACTGTCTAGTGTTTCGAGTTCATCAGAATATATGAATACTAAGTAATCACTAAATTTAGGATTATTCAGTGATAAAACATTACCGATATATCAATAAGTGAAATTAAAACGCCTGACCAATCGTTTATTTGTTTTTACGAGTGTCAGTTTATAATAATCTTGGTAAGAATACAGAAACAAATAAGTCAGCAAGCAAAGGTGCATAGTTGGTGCCCATGGGGATACCTACCACTTGCTGATGTATTGCCCCTCCAAATTCAACAAAGATATTATCAGTAAGCAAAATTGACAATATTTTTCATCAAAACAACGATTGCTTATTGTTATTTATAACATTTCTGCCACATCCAACTGCAATTAAGCAGAAAATCCTACCTGACACGGGTACAAATCCCCTCTTTTTAAATCAAAGCGATAGTAGATTGCTTTTTCAGAGTTGCACAGGAGTAATACGCCGTAATTATGAATGTCCGTATCAATTTAGATAAAAACAACGCTTGATTTACTTTATTGTCAATATTTGCTGATAAAATGAATGTTTTTCAATAGATTGGGCTGCCTATGTGTAATAAGTACTAATGGTATAAAATTAACTTATTTTTAAGATGGTACATGCATTAATAAAGAAATTGAGTTTGCCACTTGGAACTTAAGGCATCCAA